TGAGCAATTTTGAACAAAATAAACTAACAAATAGAAGGCCTGAGCAAAAATATAGAAAGTCTCAACAAAGAAATAGAAGATGTAAAGAACAAAATGGAAAGTTTATAAATGAATAATACTATAATCAAAATACAAAGCTCAGTAGATGGGCTCAACAGCACAAAGGAGAGGTCAGAGGAAAGAATTGGTGAACTGGAAGATTTAACAGTAGATATTAAGCAATATGAATGAAAGAAAAAAATAGAATGAAAAAATAAATCAGCAGGGCCTCAGGGAATTGTGGGATGATAAGAAAAGATCTAACATTCATGTCATTTAAGCTCTAGAAGAAGAAAAATTAGGCAAGTCTGAAAAAGTACTCAAAGAAATAATGCCTAAAAATACCTCAAATTTGGGAAGTGACATAAACCTACAGATTCAAAAAGATGAACAAATCCCAAACAGAATAAACCCACAGAAATCCATGCCAGTACACATCATTATAATTAAGCATCAGCAAAGTAAAAAAAAGAGAAAATCTCTTTAAAAAAGCCAGAGAAAAACAACACCTTAAAGATAGGGTAAAAATACAGTGAATGACAGTGAATTTCTCACTGGAAACCACGGAGTCTTAAAGGAAGTGGCACAATATTTTCCAGATGTTGGCGGGAAAAAAATCTGTCAACCTAGTTTCCTATGCCCAGCAAAAATATTCTTTAGAAATGAAGGGAAAATCAAGATATTCTCAGATATAAAAAAACTGAGAGAATGTGATGGTAGTAGGCCTACCCTGAAATAATGGCTACAGTTCATTCTCTGAACAGAAAGGAAATAACAGAAGAACAAAGCCTGCAATATTAGGGAAGAACAAAGAGCACAGCACACAAAAACATGTGAAAATACAATAGGCATTTTTTTTTGCTTCTTGAGTTTTAAAATAAATTATTTTTCATGGCTGAAGGAAACATTTAACCTTATCTGATGAGCTTCTAAAACATGTGTAGAGGTAATAATTGAGACAGTTATATAATAAACAAGGAGAGAAAACAGATGTAAAGGGAGATAAGAATTCTATACTTCAACTGGTAAAATGAACAACCACTAAAAAAGTCTCTATGCTCAAAAACACTGTAGATTAACAAAAATGGAATTTTAAAAAATGCTCAAATAATCTAAAGGAAGAGGGAAAAAGGCAACAAAGAAATGAAAAACAGAAACAAAGAAAAAATGGCAGATATGAGCCTTAATATCATTACAATTAATCATTTATTAATAACATACATAATTATACATCAATTACATTAAATATAAATGGTCTAAATACACCAATTAAAAGAAAGAGATTGCAGAGTAGATTAAAACTCTGAGCCATAGCTTTTGATTTTAAGTGAGAGAAAAAGGGAAAAAAAAGACCCAATACAAGTGGCCAATAAGCAGATGATTAGTCATCAGGGAAATGCAAATCAAAACCACAACAAAGCATGGTGCGTTGGCACGTGTGCCTGTAGTTCCAGCTATGTGGGAGGCTGAGTCAGGAGGACTGTTTGAGCCCAGGAGTTCGAGGCTGTAGTGTGCTAAGATTGCGTCTGTGAATAGCTACAGGACTCCAGCCTGGGCAAGACCCCATCTCTTAAAAAAACAAAAAGCCACAATGAGATACACTTCACATCTACTAGGATCGCTAAAATTTTAAAAAAGGAATGTAAAATATGGGTGTTGGCAATAGGGCTGTGAATGTTTATAGCAGAACTATTCACAATAGCTAAAAGGTAGAAAGAACTCAAATATCCATCGAGATACGAATGGATAAACAAAATGTGGTATATCCATTCAGGAATATTATCTAGCCATAAAAAGGAATGAAATACCGATACATGCTACAATGTGAATGAAACTCAAATGCATGATGCTAAGTGACAGAAGCCAGACACAAAATATCATACACTGTACAATTCCACTTACATGAAATATACAAAATAGGTAATGCCATAGAGAAAGAAAACAGATTTGTGGTTGCCAGGAACTGAGAGAAGGGGAATAGAGGAATGACTGCTTAATCAGTACAGATTTTGTTTTGTAACTTAACAGAAGTAATGGCCGCACAACACTGTCAACATACTAAATGCCACTATACATTTTAAAATGGTTAAATTTGTGTTATTTAACCTAAAAATGTTGAATTTAACTTAAAAATACTGCAAGTTGCCAAGCTCTCCTGTTCTAGGCTCCCTAACCTCCAAGTGTGCAGCCTCCAAGCATGCCATGTACCCTGCGGCATCTGTAAGTACAATAGCTACCAGCTAAGATGATAGAGAAAACAGGCGGTACAAAAAAAAACAAAAACCCTAAAGACCAATGTCTTTCATGTTCGTAGATGCAAAAATCCTTAACAAAAATTAGGAATGGAATTAGGCAATATATAATTCTACACCACGACCAAATGGAGTTTATTCCAGGGATGTAAGGCTAGTTCAATATTTGAAAACTGACCAGCGTAATCCACCATATTAATAGATTAAGTAAAGAAAAATCATATGTTCGTATCAATTGATGCAGAAAAAACATTTGACAAAATTCAACATCTACTAATGATTTAAAAAAACCCCTTAGAAATATAGAAGTAGAGGGGAACTTCTAACTTGATAAAGAACACCTGTAAAAAACCTATAGCTGATATTACACTTAATGGTGAAAGACTGAATTTTTCTCCCTAAGACTGAGAAGCTAGTATGTACTTCTCAACCACTCTTCTTTGACATAATATTACATGTTCTAGCCAGTGCAGTAAGGCAAGAAAAGGAAATAAAAAGCATAAGTATCAGAAAGGGAGAATTAAAACTGCTCCTATCTGCAAACGACATGAATGTCAGCATTAAAAAATTCCCAAAGAATCTATTAAAAAAATACTCCTAGAACTATTAAGTGAGTTTAGCAATGTCACAGAAAATAAACATATAAAAGCCGATTGTATTTCTATATATTTACAATGAATACATACACACCAAAATTAAAAATACCATACCATTTGCAATTGCTCAGTAATGAAATTATTTATCATTATTCTATATATAATGAGTTAGACATCAACACAGGTTCCCTTTGGATATTGCCAGAAAAGTATTGTAAATGACAGCAAAATATTTTAGGATTTAAAAAGTTAGCTGTTACACAGAGCCAACAAAGCAGCTCACAACTATTTTGGTAAATCACACAACTATGAGATTGCTGATTTGAATGTTTTATATCAATCCCATCTATTTCAAGGTAGTTTTTAAAATGAATATACAAGCTTTCAAAAGCTACTGCCATTCAAAGCCACAGTGTATTATAAGAAAATGTAAATCTGAGATAGGCTTATGACAAGTTTTCTAAATCCATTTTACCTCTTTGAAGATAAATCACTGACCATCCTAGCTGGTCTTGTGTTCTACTATTTTAGCATCATACAATTCTACACAGACATTCAGCGGCACTCTTAATGTTTTATTGTTGGTACCAAAGGAAAGCCAATGATTCTGCTTATCATGTTCATAATCTAATTTATTTTTAGAAAGATAAAGTTATAGAAATTTGATAAAGAGGTATTTCTTAGAAAAAGAGTCTCTTAAAAACAACAGAATAGTGTTCATAAATTATGCTCAAATTTAAGATCTCCACATGTATTCCACATAAACAAAGTATTAATGTGGCATTGTAAATAGTCCTTTTTATAAAAGACCCTTTATCATAGTTTTTCTTTTCCTTCACTTATTTTCACCTAAAATTGCAGTTTTGGAGAGGCCTGACCATTCTAGCTAAAGTAGTATCACCTTCTTTCTATCCCTCCACTTACTCAGATCATGTGATGTCTCTAACATGCAAAAGGCTGCCATTTAGCTCAAGAGTAAAAACCAAAGATCTTACACCAATCGAAAAGACTCTACTGATCAGGCGACAAGTCCCTTGCACCCCTTTACTTCTCTAACTCACTTCCTTCCATTCTATCTGCTTGCTTATTCTGCTCCAGCTATGCTGTCCTCTGTGTTTTACTTAAACACATGAAGCACATTCTGACTTTAGGGCCTTTGCATTGGCTGGTCATTCTGCCTGGAACAAGCATTCCCCAGATAACTGAACGGCTAAGTCCCTTACCTTCTTCAAATTTTTATTTACATGTTCCCTTCTCAAACAGGCCTAAACCCAGACCATAGTACTTACACTGATAAAACTCGTCATGTCACACATCTGATTCATTCTCCTTATTCTACTCTATTTTTAAGCACTTATCACCTTCTAATATACTGTATCATTTACATAGTTATACCTCATATATTTACTGGTTTTTGTCTGTTATCTGTCCTCCACCCAGGCAAGGGCAAGGATTTTTGCATGTTTTGTTTACTACTGCATCCCAAGAGCCTACAACAACACCTGGTAGGGGCTTAATAAACATTTGTCGAACAAATGCAATAAATGAATGAATGAGTACAATAGGCATATCAACAATCAATACAATAGGCATCAATTGTCAAAGTTAATTTTAATTAATCTTGGCAATACACTGAAAAATGTTCTGTAACAAAGAAAAAAAATTTTCACAAGCCTTGATGCCTATATACATGCAATTCCCTTGTCTACAGTGTCCTCCTTCCTCCCTCCTAACGCTTGTTCCCCTGAATTGCTCTTCTAGGCAAATCCCAACTCAATATCCCCCCAAATTAACAGATCTTCCACAAAAGCAATCCTTGTTCACTTAAGTCCAGGTTAGTTGTCCCTCCTATGTACTCTCCATGTACCTCTGTTTATTATTCCTCATAGCCTTTTCACATATATTATAATAACATTTATTTATCTGTTTCCCAGATCCAAATGTGAGTTCCTTGAAAGCAGAACTGACTTATTTCTGCTTATTTGCCTTTCCCTCACTGGCGTATAACTCACATCACACAGCACAGACAGGTACTCAATAAATGTTTTTTGTGTGAATAAACCATTTTTAAAAATCTACTAAACTGAATTAAAAGTAAATCATAGAAATTTACCTGTTACTTGTTTCCTTAGTTTTTCAATTTCTTCTTTCAAGTTTTTTATTTCTAAATCTTTGCTTGCTGTTAGTGGACCATCAACGGTTGAATACTGAAGAGCTTGGACAGTCTGTGTTGATTCTTAAAAAAAGAATAAAAAAATTTTTACGACTAATAACAACATATTTTTTGTTGAGAAATTCTTATATAATTCCATAGGCCAAAACATCTACCAATTGAACCAAAGCATGTAAATACATTAAGTCATAAAATTCCATTATGCACATCTTTAAAATTATAACATATATAGAAAAGAATCTACCTTCTAATATGTGAGATTTTTGGTTTTAAATACTGTTGGTATAGTTTGCCAGTGATTCAACTATTTGGCCCCTTTTGGTGCTAGCATCTCTGCATATGTGATAACTCAAAAATATTATGTCAGTCAGATGATGTATGAAGAACTGAATCTGGTATATAAAGGGGGTTTTAGACATGTTAATACATATATGTAGAAGTGCTAGCCTTCCAAATTTTATGTCTGGAAGTTGAGGCCCATCCATAGATAACACTGGCTCATCAATTTAGTTAAAATAGAGATTATTAATTTATCTTGCAGTTTGAATCAGAAGATGCAAGGTATCAAAGAAACATTAACTTTACTGATGTTTATTCCCAGATATTACCAAAAGATATGGAAAAAAACAACTTGAAAACCATTTTGTATCAGAAATGAAACCACCATTGTTCTAAAATAGGCATTCTGCTATTTACAGAGGGGTTCCCAAATAGCAAGTCTCTCTCTTACCATAATTCTTTGTTAGTGCAAATCATTACTGATTGTTCTGTGTGTTTGTATCATAATCTTTCATACAATAAAAATCATAAGACATTTGGAAAAGCAGGAAAGCATGACCAATAGTCAAAAGAAAAAACAGAAATAAAGGTAGACTCACAGATGATCCGGGTGTTAAAATTGACAGACAAGGAGCTTAAAATAATTATTATTAAAATGTTGAAGACAATAGAGGGAAAGATAGGCAAAAAGATGGGGAAATTTCAATGGAGAATTGAAAACTATAAGAGAACCAAATGGATATTCTTGAACTAAAAGAGACAGTATCTGAAATTAAAACTCATGGACTTAACAGCAGAATGGATGTAACAGAAAACAGAACTAGTAAGCATGAAGGAAGGTCAACAGAAAATATCAAAATGAAGCACAAGGAACAAAAGAATAGAAAGAACAGACCATAAAGGAAACGTGGGACATGATCTAACATATATGCAATTAGATCCCCAGAAGGAAAGAAGAAAGTGAACAAAACAAAGAAATATCTACAGAGATTATGGCTTAGAATTTTCCAAAATTGATAAACGACATTAATTAAGATTGTAGAAGCATGATGAATCCCAAACAGGATTTTATATTAATACAAAGAAAGCTATACCTATGCACATCAGATAAAACTATTTGAAACTGAATTTAAGGACAAGTTTTTAAAAGCAACCAGAGGAGAAAAAAGATACGTTATATTTGAGAGATGAAGATTAACAGCTGGCTTCTCAAGAAATATAATGGAAGTTAGAAAACAATAGAATAATAACTGTAGAACTTTCAAAGGAAAAACTGTCAAGCTAGAATTCTAACCCAGCAAAAGTATCCTTTCAAAAAGAAAGGCAAAAATTAAGACATTTTCAGACAAACAAAATCTTAGAGAATTTGTCACAGCACATTCACATTACAAGAAATACTAAAGGAAGTTTTTCAGGGTGAAGAAAAGTGATTCCAGATAGAAACATCGATCACTAGGAAGAAATAAAAAGCACCAAAAGGATAAATAAAAAGATATTTAAAAATTAATGAGTAATAAATATGTGAAGCAACAATAAAGTAAATGTATTAAAAGATTTATAAACTAGATTAAGGTAAAATATACAATAACAATCACAGAAGGAACTGTTGAAAAGTTTTTTACATTGTTTGTGAAGTGAAAAAATACAAATTATTAAGAAAAAGATCTAACAGAAAAATGGTCAAGAACCTTGAACTGGAACTTCACAAGACTGGATAACTAAATTGATAGTAAATATATGAAAAGATACTCAACCTCATTATTCATCAGGGAAAGGCAAATTAAATTCACAGTAAGACACCATTATATATCTACAAGAATGAATACAAGTAAAAAAAAAAACTGACAATATCAAGTTCTGGTGGAGAGCTGAAGAAAGTGGAAGTCATATATTACTAGTAGAACTAATATATTGAATACAGTCAATTTGGAAAACTCTTTGACAATATCTTCTAAAGATGAAAATATCCTATGACCCACAAATTCTACTCCTTGATATATATCCAAGAGAAATAAGTAAACATCACTACCAAAAGGAATACATAAGAATATTCACAGGTGTACTCATGATAATCAATATTTGGAAATAATCCAAATATTCACGAATGACAGATTGGATAAATCAATTTTTAGTATTTATATACAATGAAATGCTAAACAATAGTATAACAAAAAGAACTATTGATATATATAAAACATGGATAAATCTCAAAACAACATGTGGAGTTAAGCCAGACACAAAAGAGAACATAGTATATGATACTATTCATACGAAGTTCAAGAACAGGTATCAATCAATTAATGGGGAAAGAAATTAGGATAGTGTCTTCTTCAAGGTGGTAGGTTATGAACTGGGAAGGGGCATGACAGGACCTCATGCTATGCTGGAAATATTCTATACATTGATATGGGTGGAGGTTACATGAGTATATATAAGCAATTATCGGGCTTACAGTTAAAAATAGAATGCTTGCACACTTTATGTATATTGCCATATTAATAAAACAAGTAAAAAAACTAACTTGGGCCACAAAGGGGAAGTAATTCACATGCAGAGATCTTAGCAACTTATTGAAAAATAGGAAAATAGTCTATTCTATTGATGTCTATGGAGCCTTTTTTCCTACTGGGCTTCTAAAAGTAAGTAAGCAAAATTTTATGACTGTAAAACTTTGATTTTTTTCTCTTGTAGGAGTTACAAGTTCTTGATTACTTGTTCATACATATATTTCTTCATTCACAAAATATATAAGTAAAATAAACATTATATCCTTTATGCTGGAGAAAATAAAGCATAAAAGAGAGATAGTGAGTGCTGGGGATAGATGTAATACTAAATTATAAATAGGATGGTTGGGAAAAAGGCTTCAATGAAGGCTTCATTCAAGTAGAGAGGTAAGGGAATATGTCAGGTAAATATCAAAGGAAGAACATTTAAGGTAGGGCAACAGCTAATGCAAAGGCCCTGAGGTAGGGATGTACCTGGCTTATGAAAAGAACAGCAAGGAGCCTAAGGTGGCCAGAACACAAGGAACAAAGAAGAGAGTAATCAGAATGGTAAGAAGTCAGATCATATATCGCCTTAGGCACTGAAATTAGTTTGGCTATTAATGTGACATGGAAAGCTACTGAAAGTGGGATTAACATAGTGAAGTAAGATGATCTAAGTAGTTTTAATACGATTATTTGGCTGATACATTGAAAACAAACTGAAAGAAACCAGGGGTGGAAGACATGTGGGGCGAGGGGACAGTGGAGGAAGAGATAAAATAAGGAAACAAGTTAGTAAGTTGTTGCAATAATACAGGTGAGAGTGGATGGTGGTTTGAAACAGGGTAGGAGCCCCACAGTGAGTGATAATCAGATTCAGGATCTATTGGGATAGCAGAGCTGACACAATTTGCTGATGGACCTGATGTGGGGTGTGAGAGAATATAAGGGTTTAAGGATGGCTGTAAGGTTTTACTTGTGAGCAAGTGAAAGCATGGAGTACTCTAGAGTACTCTAACACTCAAAGGCCAAAGAGTTAAGAAGAAATCAGCAAAGGAGATTGAGAAGGACTAGCTTATGAAGAAAAAGAAAATCAAGAGAGTCAAGTGCCCCAGAAGCCAAAAAAAGGAAAGAGTTTTCAGGAGGAAGAAATGGTCAACTGGGTCAAATGCTGCTAACAGGTTAAAAGACGACTGAGAAATGATCACTGGATTTTTCAATACAGCAGAAGAAAATGGGATAAGGGGAAAAAAGTAGGATTGCTGGGCAGCATTAAGAACCGGCCTGAGACTGGTGTTCATGAATTTGAAGTGCTATTAGTCAGCATGTTGTATGGTTTTTAAGTAGGCTACCTTCAGCTGCACAGTTGTGGATGCAAAGTTGTATTTAAACAGGGTTAATATTCTACCAAAGGAATCTGACAGAGACAAAGGGGAACAACAGATTTGAGGGTATTGTTATGATTGACCATAGAATGAGAAATGAGGGTATAAGAGAAACAGTGAAATGGTGACAGACTTGTAGGTATGGTGGAATTAAAGGACTATTGGAGCTAAGGCACCAGAGAGTGTTCACTAGAAATTATGAGCAAGAGATTATGGAGGATTTGCTTGAAACTGAGATTAATGATGGGTTTTAGATATTGTAATCTCAAGCTATATCTCACTACCACGGGATAGAGTGGATGAGATAGGGTGGAGAAGACGATCACTGAAGGTGAAGAATCAAGAAACCAAGTCAAAATCTTAAAAGGTTCACCTACATGCATTTTAAATCACCTAATATTATGACAGAAGCAATGCTGTAGGGCATGACAGTGTGACAGGAGCTAGAACTCTTAAGGATTGAACAAATATGATAGGAAAAGTCATTAAAGTGTTATACTCGTGTGAGAAGGCTTCCATTTTTCCTAACAGTCCCGTTCGCCTCTCCCCAGAGGTATTTATTTTCACTCTCTTATATACACACATATGTACCCATAGGAAACATTATTTTTCGTTGTTGGCAGTTAATTGTGTGATTTTACATAAATGTATTATACTGTGTTCTGCATATATTTCTACAACTTGATATTTCATCACTTAATAAAAAAATTTCTTCTTAAGACAAAACAACCACTTCTAATAAACAATTTATAACACTGTCAGTCTACTTCGAAAAGGGAAATTATCTTTAAAATATATTTACCTTGAAGCTTTCTGCTAAGTTCAAGTTTTTCTTGTTCAAGACGCTTAATTCTTCTTTCATAAGCTTCAGTCGCTAAGTTGTTGTCTAGAGTCCTCTGAACATTAGCGTCAAGATCCAGTGAGGTGGGACCCGCTGTAACTCTTAAACAACTCCTATCAGAGAGAACACTGAAGAAAGAAAAAAATATGTAGGTTAATACTGTAATAAAAAGTTTAAAGAAAGAAGACAACCTTTTAAAATTGTTCATTTAAAACAAGGATTTGAATATAGTTTTTGCAAAATCACCAAAAACTACTTTTTATAAGCATTTTTTTAAATGAAAACATAAATCCCCCCAAATTATCTTTGGTTATTCTGGATCTTTTGTGGTTCCACATAAATTCTAGGATTATTTTTTTCTATTCTGTGAAAAATGTCATTAATATTTTTGTTCTAGAGTCCTGTTTAAGTCCAGTGTTTCTTTATTCGTTTTCTGCTTCAATGATCTGTCCAGTACTGTCAGTGGAGTGCTGAAGTCCCTGACTATTAACATACTGCTGTTTATTTGTTTGCTTAGATCTAAAAGAATTTGCTTTATGAAGCTGGGAGCTCCTGTGTTAGGTGCATATGTATTTAGGACTGTTATGTCTTCTTGTTGAATTGCTCCCTTTTCCATTATATAATGACCATCTTTGTCTTCTTTTACCATTGTTAAAGTCTATTTCATCTGATATGAGAATGGCTATACTTGCTGGCTTTTGGTTTCCATTTTTGTGGAGTATTTTTTTCCATCCCTTCCACCTTGAATCTGTATGAGTCCTTTTGGGTTGGATGTGTTTCCTGGAGACAGCAGATATTTGGGTTGTATCTTTTCATCCATTCAGCCAGTCTATGTCTTTTAACATTCAGACCGTTCACGTGTTAGTATTGATGTGAGGGATGCTGCTCTATTCATCATGTTGGCTGATACCTTATCGTTTTGTTTTCCCTCTTGTGCTATTGTTTTATAAGAGGTGTGAGCTATCATTTTTGGGTGTTTTTACACTGGTTGGTGTCTACTGTGGTGCTGCATGTATAATGCACTTTTGAGCATTTCCTGCAGGACAGGTCTAGTAGTGACAAATTCCCTTTGTGTTTGCTTGTCTGGGAAAAGACTTTATTTCTCCTTCATTTACAAAATTTAGTTTAGCAGGATACAAAATTCTTGACTGGCAGTTATTCTGTTTAAGGAGACTAAAGATAGGATCCCATTTCCTTCTGCCTTGTAAGGTCATTGGTATTTTGATAGGGATGCACTGAATCTGTAGATTGCTTTGAGTAGTATAGATATTTTAACAATATTGATTCTTCTAATCCATGAGTACCTTTCCATTTTTTTCTGTCCTCTTCAACTTCTTTCATCAATGTTTTATAGTTTCCATTAAAGAGATCTTTCACTTCTTTGGTTAAGTTTATTACCAGGTTTTTATTTTATTTGTAACTATTATAAATGTGACTACTTTCTTGGTTTCTTTTTCAGATTGTTCACTATTGGCCTATAGAAATACTACTGATCTTATATACTGAAATTTCACTTAATTTGTTTATCAGTTCTAATAGTTTTTGGGTGGAATCTTTAGGTTTCTCGAGATTTAAAATCATATCATCTGCAAATAAGGATAATTTGACTTCTTCCCTTCTAATTTGGACGTCCTTTATCTCTTTCTCTTGTCTGATTGCTCTAGCTAAAACTTCCAGTACTATGTTGAATAACAGTGGTAAAAATGAGCATCCTTGTCTTGTTCTACCCCCTAAATTATCTTGATTTTTTAAAAAAGAACCACAAATTATAAAATGAAGTTTTCTGAAGGGTTACTGGTAGTTTAAAACAATTTGATCACTTAAGTGAAACAGTAGTCAAAAACACCAACCATAGTCCTCTTTGCCAGAATTTGAACTTCAGAACTGAGGTCCTTTTTAAAATTCAATACAATTTAATTGAAAATATTTGAGGTGCTGAAGTGTCAGTAGTGAATAAAACAGACAAAAAATCCTTGCCCATATAGTGCTTATATTCCAGTGATGGAGAGAGAAATAAACAAAACAATTAAATATTCAGTACATTAGAAAATATTGAGTGCTAAGGAGAAAACATAAAGCAGAAAAGGGAGGGTATAGTATTAAGGGGAAGGAGATAAAAATTTAGATAAAGTGGTCAGGAAAGCTGTCACTGTGAAAGTAACTCTGAGAAAAACCAATTAAGGGTAAGGGGACCAGCCAAGGGAATGTCAAAAGGAAGGGCATTCCAGGAAGATGGAACAGAAGTACAGAAGTCCTGCGATAAGACTCTATCTGGCAGGTTTATAAACCTGAAAGGAGGCCTGTGTGGATGGAGTGGAGTAAGCAAGGGGAAGAATAGTAGAAAATAAACCCAGAAAGATAAAAGTGAGCCAGTCATGTAGGGTCTTGTAAGAATTTTGATTAGGAGTTAAGATACAAAGCCACTGAAGCTGGGGGGTTTGGGGTATTGGTCCTGAACAGAGTATAGACATATCTTTTCTGCTTTATTTTTTAATAAGATCACTTGTACAGGTTCTGAGAAATAAAGGAAATGAAGCTATGAACAGATTAAGTAGGTGGTTAAGACATTTTAAGTAGAAGAGAGGAGAGGTCTCAGCTGGAGATTCACATTTAGGAGTTATCAGCAAATATCTGGGAGAACATCAGATAGTATAAATGAAAAAGAGATGTCTAAAGACTGCCACAGCACACCTTGATATTCAGAAGTTAGGGAGATTAGGAGGAATCATGCATGGAGACTGAGAAGGAATGGCCAGAAAGGTAAGAAGAAAATCAGTCAAGTGTCCTGGAAGCTGAGAAAAGAAAGTGTTTTAATGATGTGGACCTGTGGCAAATCAGATGAGACCAGGCAAGTAAGTTAAGACTAGGACTGAGAAGTGAACATTAGGTTTAGCATTATGGAGGTCAATGGTGACACTGATAAAAACAGTTTTTATGAAGTGATGGGGGCACAAACCCGAATGGAATGAATTTAAAATAGAATAGTACAAAAAAAATGGACAAAATATAATCAACAGTTGAAGTAATTTTGCTATAATGTACACCAGGGAAATGGTTACTAACGGGTAAAGGAAATGAGATCCAGAGAGATTTTATATTTTGCTTTAAGATGGGAGAAAGAACTGCAGATTTGTAAGCTGATGGAAATGCTCTGATGATATAGAAAGGGAATGCATGACGTCAAAGTGAGCAATAGACTGGACTAGCTAAGAGGGCCTGGAAGATGCTGGCCTTAGCTAGGAGCTTGCACAGTTCATCCATGAAAAGAAGAGATCACATAGGTCCAGAGGTATGTAGGTGATAAATGTTGTGATGGAAGCTTATGGAAGTTGTCTGCTGTTTGCTTCAATCCTCTTAGTGAAAGAGGAAGCAAGAACACCAGCTGAGAGTGAGGACAAAAGAGGTATCACAGGCAAGTAGAAAGTATGAAATAGTTATTTAGAGGAGTGGAAAAGAGATACACTAGGGCTGAGGTCCCCAGGCCATGGGCTGCAGACCTGGTACTGGTCCATGGCCTATTAGGAACCAGGCCACATAGTGGGAGGTGAGCAGTGGAAGAGCCAGCAAAGCTTCATCAGTATCTGTAGCTGCTCCCCATCGTCCGCATCACCCCCTGAGCTCCACCTCCTGTCAGATCAGCAGTGGCATTAGATTCTCACAGGAGTACAAACCCTACTGTAAACCGCCCATGCGAGGGATCTAGGTTGCGTACTTCTCATGAGAATCTAATGCCTGATGATCTGAGGTGGAGCTGAGGCGGTGATGCTAGCACTGGGTAGCAGCTGCAAATACAGATTATCATTAGCAGAGAGGTTTGACTGCACAGAGACCATAATAAATCAACTGCTTACTGACTCATATCAAAACCCTATCAGTGAGTGGCAAGTGACAAGCTGCATCTGCTAGCAGGCTTTATAGTGGCAACTGAGTTGAGGAACTTCAATTGTACAGCTGCATCTGGTGGCAGGAAGGCTTTAGTCAGAATCCGACACTTATGTTAGTCCGCGTGTAGCCTGCCCTTTATATTATGTACCACTTCCATCCACACCTCTTTCCTGCACTGTACACTTGTCTCAGTCACACTTTTGGTAAGCCCACAAGCTAACCCTACCAAAAATGAGTAAAAAACAAACGTTGCTGGAGAGCTTCTTTGGAAAGGGGGAATGACCCAATAATGAGACAGCAGAAGACTCTAACATTGCCAACAAAATGAAAGCTGCGTTTAAAAGAAAATACTGGCCAGGCCCGGTGGCTCATGCCTGTAATCCTAGCACCCTGGGAAGCTGAGGCAGGAAGATCACTTGAGCTCAGGAGTTTGAGACCAGCCTTAGGCCTTAGCAAGAGCGAAATCCTGTCTCTACTAAAAATAGAAAAATTAGCTAGGTATTGTGGCGCATGCCTATAGTCCCAGCTACTTGGGAGGCTGAGGCAAGAGGATCACCTGAGCCCAGGAGTTTGAGGTTGCAGTGAGCTATGACACCACTGCACTCTACCAATGGCAACAGAGCAAGACTCTGTCTAAAAAAAAACAAAAAACAAAAAACAAAAAAAACAAAACAAAATACCAAGAGTCCTACTTAAATTACGTGTTCACTGCAACAGGTGATTCACATTCTCCAAGGCTGCTTCATGTAATATGGTAGTATGTGGTAACCAGCTAATCAATGAAGCCATGAAATCTTCAAAACTGCTTCGTCACATGGAGACCAAGGATCCTACATTAAAAGACAAGCCTTTGGAGTTTTCCAAAAGAAAAAATGTGAACACAAAGAACAGAAGCGATTATTGAAGGCCACTGCTTCTTCAAATGTATCTGCACTGAGAGCATGATTCTGAACAGCTAACCGCATTGCTGAAGCTAAGAAGCCCTTCAATATTGGTGAAGGGTTGATCCTGCGTGCTGCTAAAGACATTTGCCATGAACTTTTAGGAGAGGCTGCAGTTCAAAAGGTGGCACGTGTTCCTCTTTCAGCTAGCATCATAACTACACGAATTGATGAAATAGCAGAGGATATTGAGGCACAACTGTTAGAGAGGATTAATGAGTCGCTGTGGTACACAATCCAGGTTGGCAAGTCTACCAATGTTGCAAACAAGGCAACAATGCTTGTGTTTGTGCAATATATTTTTCAGGAGGCTGTGCAGGAGGATATGTTACATGCACTTTTGTTGCCAACCAACACCACAGCTAAGGAACTATTCAGGTCTTTGAATGATTACATATCAGGAAAACTGAACTGGTCATTTTGTGTTGGTATATGCACTGACAGAGCAGCTGCATGACTGGGTGGCTTTCTGGTTTCACTGCTCTGTTTAAGCAGCTCTGAGGAGATGGCGCAGAGCACACGTCTTCTCTTACACACAGAGGCGAGATGGCTTTCTAAAGGTAGATTTCTGGCCAGAGTTTCTGAGTTATGAGAGCTGCTCCAGAGACTGCTTTTAGAAAAACAGTCACCACTGGCAGCACATGTCAGTGACACAGAACGGGCTGCAAAACTTGCTTACTTGTGTGACATATTCAACCTGCTCAACAAACTCAATCTGTCACTTCAGGAGAGAAGGACAACTGTATTCAAGTCAGCAGATAAAGTGGCTGCATTCAAAGCCAAATTGGAATTATGGAGGCAACAAGTTAATTCCAATGGATTTTTGACAAGTTTCAAACATTAGTAGAGATTTTGAAAGAGACTGAGCCAGGGCCTCCTTTCTCCAAGCTGGTGCATGATCACCTATTTCAGCTTTCAAAAGAGTTTGAGCATTATTTCCCAACCACAAAAGACCCCAAGACAGGCAAGGAATGGATCTGCAACCCATCTGCGAATAAGGCAGGTGAATCGACTTTGTTGGTGCTAGAAGACAATCAACTGCTTGAGATCGCAAATGACGGTGGCCTTAAAAATATGTTTGAGACAACTTGAAATCTCCATATGTTCTGGATTAAAATCAAGGAGGAATATACTGAGATTGCCACAAAAGCACTGAAAATCCTGCTTCCATTTCCAACATCGTATCTTTATGAAGCAAGGTTTTCTACAGTGACAGCAACCAAAATGAGATTATGGAGTAGAGTGGACATAAACAACACGCTTTGGATGTCACTGTCTTCCATCACTCCCAGAAGGGACCATCTAGTTGCAGGAAAACAAGGTGAAGGCTCCCACTGATTCTGCATTATGGTGAGTTGTATAATTATTTCATTACATATACAATGTAATAATAATAGAAACAAAGTACACAATAAATGTAATGTGCTTGAGTCATCCCAAAACTATCCCCCATCCTCCACCTCCAGGGTGCATGGAAAAATTGTCTTCCATTAAACCAGTCCCTGGTGTCAAAAAGATTGGGGACTGCTGCACTAGTATAATATAGCATATTTGCTAGACAGCAATAAGGGGTACTTAAGGTTGGTAATCATGAATTTAAAGTAAAAACCAGTAAGAATGGTCAGATATTCCTCCCTAGTCACTTCGAACTGCACTGGTATAGAAAGAAAATCAAATTTTAACAATGAATGTTGACTTAGCAATACAAGAAAATGAGAGAAAGCCAAGGAAACTGAGGTGGCACACAAACAGTGATGATAATCATTCTCTATGGAATTTAAACTGAGAAGGAGGAAAGAAAGGATATAAGTAGAAAGAGGGTCAACAAAAGGATGGCAGGATTAATGAGCTGAATGTTCTTGTCCTTGACACCCAGAGAAAATTTATTCAATAGGAAGAGACTGTTCTAATTCTTACCCCATTTTTAAGGGTTATATTCTGAGCTCTCTCTTTGTCCCATTCTTTCCCCTCCAAAATGAGTTAAAATTCGTATGTATTTCATTCATTTTGTAAGTTTAACTTTTTCCAGCAGTAGGCTCACTCTATTTTAAAAAAAATTAATTTATGAAGCTTTCTCATATATTACATTTTTAAAAAAAAAAAAACCTCAATTCACTTTAATTTACTTTAAATTGTCCAAACTATGTTAACTTTCAAACTTACCAGCTACTAGTATATGTAAAACCAACAAATGGCAGATGGTGGCCAGAAAATGCAGTATGTGTTGGTGGGGGCATCGTTTCCTAAAGAAAGAAAAAACATCCGGTAAGAAATAGACAGCTATAACCTACAGGTTTGGCTGTAAGTATTAACTGCCTATAGGAAACATGCAACTGTTCAATTTAGAAATACTGGTGAGTTTGGTACAGATGTTTAGTGATATAAACTTCAGACAACTATACACTGCTACTGCAAAATTCTAAAAAAATGAAAATAAAGATTGATCATCTGACTGATACTGAATTTACAGTCATTATTCATGTATTCTGTATTTTCAAATTTGTCTAGAAGCTAAATTTTATCTGTAAACCCCAAATCAATACTTGTGGTGATTCTGCAATCATTCACAGACACGTGCAGAGCAGAGAAAAATTCGAGTCACCCTATGCTCATATTCCTAGCTGAGGATGAACAGGAGAGACTCTGCCTTCTCGTTTATCTTTTATATTAACACTATAAACAAATGTCCTTTACAGGGTCTATTTAGTGCCACATTTTTCTGCCTTTTGCGAGCAATTTCACTATTTAAAATGGCCCCCAAGCATAGTACTGTCTAGTGTTTCTATGTGCCTTCACAGAGAAAATAACATGTGTTAGAAAAGCTTCATTCAGGGATGAGTTACAGTGCTGCTGCTGGTGAGTTTGATATTAATGAATCAACAGTATATATTACATAGGTGTCTTCAAACAGAAACACACATAAAACAAGATTATGTATTGATCCGATGGTCAAAATGTGACCAGAGGCTGACAGGAACCTAATCCTGTATCTCTCTGGAGCAGTGGTTCAATATTAGCTAATACAGTGTTCACAGCAACTTTATAGAACATAACTACCATGAATAATTAGAATCAACTGTACTATGTATTTAATTTGGAATGACTCACAATTTCTGTTAGCAGTACATATAATTCTACTAATAAAGAAAGTCCATTTAATTCTTTCTTGTGAAGCTCAGAGAAGAAAGTATAAGAGAATTTCTTATCTGCCTTGATTATGGTACTGAACAGTGAAAAGTAACATATAATTAATATAAAATTTTTAGTACAGAATTAAAACCATATGAAATAAAATAACTGAATAAAAATAGAAGTTCAAATTAAGAAGGCTTAGAAGACAAAAAACATAAAAAATTTATATTCTTATTTTCCTAAATTTTAATTTAAGGGAAATAAATGGTGTAGAGCAGAGATTGCTACACTGTGCAGACCTGTTTCAGCACAGCCCACAAGCTAAGAATGGTTGAATATCTGGCTAGTCCACTTGTCTGACATTCACCTCAAGCAGGGATATAACCTCAGGCTAGTAAAGCTGTGGATTTAACATTTCCTATTTAACATTTCCTACCCAAGTTTGCTACTTTCAGCAGCAATACCACTGGGCTTGTTATTTAGCCCTGGAGTCTGCCCCCTCTGACAACAAAGCTGCTGGTTTTTATAGCCAGCTTCATGCTACTAATACTACTATCTCAACCAAGCCAGTAGTAGGGAAGAGGCTGTGATATATGTGATTTTAACCAAAGTTTGGGAGTTTTTCATGAATAAATCCTCCTCAATTTATTTCCCTTCAATTGATACATCAAGTCTGAATTGGTCGTTTTTGACAGTGTTGTCCAGTTTCATGGTTAGTTTTAGGGAGAGAGTTTCTAAGCTCTTCACTTTGCAAACATGAAATCCACTTTTTTAAGCGTCTAATTTGTCCTCTTAGGAAACCTAATTGCATAACTTATCTAAGAAGTAACTCTTAGAATTTCAACTTTGCTCTTAGTCATGAATAACCAAGTTCACCTCAGTTAACTCTCTTAATTTCTTGATTTATTATAGAATAAGCACTGAAAGCCATGATAACTGATAACTGATAATTGTATTACCCTAGCAAAATACTTGCAAACCAAAAAATTACTTTATAACCATATTTAAAAAGAAACAGAGGAGAAGAACTTCAATGTCATACTTACAGAATTTTTTAAACAATCATCATCCACATCAAAATTCGATGTATCTGTTGGGCTACTAACTTCTGGAATATAAGGTGCTTCGCAGTTCCGAATGTTATCCCAGTCAATTCCATTGAAAAACGGGTGCTTTTTAAAATCTTCTATTCCATTTTGACCAAGTCGATGTTCTCTGCTACATATGAGCCTTCGAATAAGATCCTTTGCATTTTCAGACACATCAGTCACTTGGGCTGGAAACTGAAACCTCTCCTAAACAGAGAATAATAGAAGCAAAATATAAATTAGTGTTTAACTTACTAAGTTGATTGACATTTATTTTCTTAAAAATACATCTTCTTTTAACAATATTTAATAAGTGTATGCTGGTACAAAGTGATGATACTAAAGGAATGCAGGGATGAATGAGAAAAGATCATTTTCCTACAGAACTTTAATTCCATATATGACTTAGTCATACATACAGTATAGAAAGAAGAATAAATGAAATGCTAAAATACCTTAAACTGGTATCAGAATAAAGAGGAATTGATTAAAAGTGGTAGAATTTGACTCAATTTTTCAACAGAGCATAATTGATAATGTTCTTATAACTCATATACTAATGATTAACTGATTATAATAAAAAAAGTTAAAGGATTTAATATGTATCTGACACTAAAGTACTTTACTCATTTAACTCATTTAATTTAATCCTCACAATAATCATCTTAAGTGGGTACTACTATTATGCTAATTTTACAGAATAAGAAACAAAGGCACAGAGAAAATTCAAGTTAATTTTCTCAACTTCACAAAACTAGTAAATGACAGAACTAGAATTTGAACTGAAGCTGTCTGACTCCAAAATCTGTGCTGTAAAATACCATGTTTTATTACAACGATTTCTTTCAGAAATGCTGCACATGCTACTTACAACCCTGCAGGTATTTCTAGTCTTTCAACTGTTTATAACCATTTGAGAAGCATTATCTTTGTAGCCAGGTAAAAGAACATAAATTCTGTAAAACTGATTTATATAATATATATTCAAAGCAACTAACTGTGTCACCAGAACAAATTAAAAAGAATAGATTATCATTCCCTTCTATGGGATATTCCTATTCATATTCTAGGTTCTTGTAATTGTCCACAATCCTCTGAGACTGACTAATCAAAATCTTTATTATTAACAACAATCTATTTCTATTTCACTTAGAACTAAATGGATTAAAATCTCATAATTTGTTCCTGTTGTATATCTGGATTGTTTTCAATGTTTTATATCATAAATAATATTAGAATAGGTATCTCTGTACATGTATCTTTGTTCTAGTGAAAATTTCATAAGGTAGATTCCTTGAAGTTGCTCACTCAAAAGCTCTAACCATTTTTTAAGGTTCAAGATGCATATTTGCAAACTTTTAGACAGAAAGGCTACATCAATTTATATTTCTCTCAACAACGTCTCAGAATGCTCATCTCACTGTATTATTTACAGTAGAGAGTATCTTTGCCAATTTGACAAGGAAAAAAGCATCTTATTATTTTAATTTGCATTTCATTTATCACTACTAAAGTTGAGAATTTTTTTACATGCATTCTAGACTATACATATACTATAGTAAGCAATGATATAAACTGTCTGCTTATGACCTTTGTTATTCTATTGGAGATACCATTTAATTCCCTAAGTTATTAGCATTTCTAATAAAATATAGGAGAAGTTAGAATTAATAATTTTATGTATAACTTATGGATACTGACAATTCTAGTTTGTCATGTCCCCTACTAGCATAGAAATGTGATCATTCATTATTTTTAGAAAAATATTTTCCCTCTTTAAATATCACATTATTTTATTATACTGTTATTTAGCACATTAATTTAAAAAAAGTAAAATACACTAACTTTGTGATTCATGATTTTTCCATATGTCTCCACCAGAGATTCTGCATAAAATGGTGTTTCTCCATAAAGCATTTCATACATACAGACCCCCAAAGACCACCAGTCACACTCAGGTCCGTATCTGCCTTTTCCGTCTTCCATGGCTTGAAGGATTTCAGGTGAGATATAATCGGGGGTTCCAACAGCCACTGAGGACTGAACCTGAAGAAGTTCATATTTTAATTAATCTACTGTAATATATTAGAAATAAAATAATAATTTTAAATTAAAAAGTTACTGAAGATACACAATGACATTATTTCATAACTACATCTTCGTTATTATACAAATTTAGCCTTCTTGTACATGCAAGTTAAATTTTATATAATCTCCACATTACTGATTTTCCAGATTGTATAACACTATAGAACCTTTATTATAGCTGTTACTTATTTAAATGACTACATTTGGAGAACAATATGAATTAAACCATGATAGCCATTAACAACAAACTGAGTATTTGGTTTAGGACATTCTTATTACTTACATGTCTAACCTGTAAATATTAAAAAAAATGAAAGCTGTGAAAATTCTACAATTAGATGGGGAAAGGGAACTCCTGAAATTTAGGCCTATACTTATGAAAAGCCTGGAGATTACGTTAAAGCTCCTTAATGGAAACTTAAGAAAATAAACGTCAACAATGTATAGCAGGCCGGGTGCGGTGGCTCACGCCTGTAATCCTAGCACTTTGGGAGGCCAAGGCGGGCGGATTGTTTGAGCTCAGGAGTTCGAGACCAGTCTGAGCAAGAGCGAGACCCCGTCTCTACTAAAAATAGAAAGAAATTAATCGGACAACTAAAAATACATAGAAAAAATTAGCCGGGCATGGTGGCGCATGCCTGTAGTCCCAGCTACTCGGGAGGCTGAGGTAGAAGGATTGCTTGAGCCCAGGAGTTTGAGGTTGCTATGAGCTAGGATGACACCACGGCACTCTAGCCCAGGCAACACAGTGAGATTCTGTCTCAAAAAAAAAAAAAAAAAAGTATAGCAAATTACCTATTAATAAAACAAATTATAAAAGAATAAAAGGTATATCCTTCAAAAAATAAAGTCCCAATAGAGAAAAAAGGTGAGCATATTTTATTATTTATTATAGCTGGTTAGATGTAAATTAGAAGATAGGTAATTTTAAAAATCCTGGATACATGTGTTGTAAGGTACTCTGAAATAAAAGAATATTGGCCCTTTACATGTTTTAAAAGAACATATTTAAAAATTGCACATTCTCAAGGTAGAATAATGGTTAATAGTCTGGATTTTATAGACTAAATTACCAATTCTTAATAACCAGGATAGATTTCCACTGTGGCAATACTGAGATTAAGTAACTTAAAAACTCTTCTATCACCAACTCTTAAAAATAGAACAACTATTTTAATAAACATATAAAATAACTTTTTAAAAAAGAAATTTTTAGGGGCCAGTAATCAAGAAATGATTGAGAACCAGAATGAGAAACATCAGAAATGGGGTGGGATTGGGGAATTGTTGGTTTTCATTTTCCAGGTACTTGGATTTTAATACACACAAGGGAACAAAAGGAAAGACCTTGCCTTGCATGAGGTGGAGAGTTTGAAGAGAAAGGATGTCCTACACACACGCCCTCTGCCCCAAAGCGCATAGTGTAAGAGAAATGGTGAATTATTTCTGCCACACAGCAGAGAAAGACAACAAGAAATTTTATCTATCTTGACTTTTGGCTGATATGTGGAAAATAACTCCTCCTGTAGAAATATGTAACTTTAGGTGATAGGGTTTCAACATCTGTGAAGCTAACTCACACTGCTTCCGTGGTCCAAATGTTTTCAGCCAAGAAACTGGCATAAATACTTAAACAAGGTTGGTTGCCTCTAGGAAGCAAAACAAATTCAAAACTACTCTGGAGAACACATACTCGAATTTGTCTAGACAAAATTCTCACACATAAAATCTTGTTGAATATAAGCTTACAATCCAATAATATAAACCAAATGAGAAAATGAGTAACAGTCAGAAATCCCAACAAACAATACGATTAGATCCCTAACAACAATCAGATCCATTCTATGAAATAAGTATGCTTAAAATTATTAAAGATCTAAAAAAATGAAAAACACAAGAAAAAGATAATTGAAAAAAATCAAAGTCCTAGAAATGAAAGTAGTCACTGAAATAAATGTAGTAAAATAGCTAAACAGTAGATTAGATACAGTTGTAGAGAATAACAAACCTGAAGAGCTGAAGAAACTAACCAGCATCCAGGATGAAGAAATAAAAAGATGGAAAATTTGGAAGAAAGGCCAAGATATACGAACACTAGAATGAGCAGGTTCAACATAGTATAATACAAGAGAATGAGAGAAAAGAGAATAGTATAAAGTAATATTCAAAGGGTCAGAGCTTAAAATTTTTCAAGAATGATTTAAGACTTGAATCCTTGGATGCAGGAAGGGTATTAAGTACTGAGAAGATAAATAAAACCAGATCCACATCTATACACACCGGAATTAAACTACAGAGTACCAAAGGCAAAGAGATTTTTAAAACATTAAAGAATAAAGAGAGATTATATATCAAGGAATGACAATTAGACTGACAGCTGAATTATTAATACTAACAATAACAGTCAGCAGAAAATGAAATTGTACCTTCAGAGTGATGAGACAAAATAATTGTCAACATAATACCCCCTACCTACCTAAATTATGATACAGGAATGATACATTTTCACACAAGATTGAGTGAACTATCCCTCATAGATCCTTTCAGATAAAAAGAAGTACGAAAGGGTGTACTTCAGAAAATAAAAAATTTAATCCAGATGGAAGAATGTGATACTAGAAGTAATCATGAATAAAGATATTAGTAAACTGTAACATGCATTTAAATGGTTTTTAATTGGATAACATAATGATGGAGGAGGAGGAGGAGGACAAGAAGGAAGAAGAGGAGTGAACAACTGCTTTAGGGCCGCAAAACAAGTTGGTACTCCATAAATACATATAACTGTAATTTGTCAATTGACAATTAAAAAATAAAAATAAAAAACCTACCTACTTTACCTCCTTAAAATAAAACAAAACAAAAATAAGTTGGAACTAAAACACTAGAAAACAATAACATGTTAATGAGGATGTAATTAGAACCAAAGTGTTCTAAGTTTCTTTGGTTTTTAAAAATATTTATTTATCTATATATGTACATATGTATTGAGTCACTGACTGAGACAGGATCTCACTCATTTGCCTGGGCTAGACTGCAGTGGCGTCATCACAGCTCACAGCAACCTCAAACTCCTGGGCTCAAGTGATTCTTCTGCCTCAGCCTCCCAAGTAGCTGGGACTATAGGTGCATGTCACCACAACCATCTAATTTTTCTATTTTTGGGAGAGAGGGAGTCCTGCTCTTGCTTGGGCTGGTGTCAAACTTCTGGCCTCAAGCAATCCTCTCGCCTTAGCCTCTCAAAGCGCTAATACTACAGGCATGAACCACTGCTCCTGGCATTAATCATTGTTTTTAATGGCGGTAAAATACACATAACATTTATTATCTCAACAATTTTTAAGTTTTCAGTCAATGGCGTAAGTACATTCATATTGTTGTGCAACCAATCACCACCATCCATCTCTAGAACTTTTTCATCTTGCAAAATTTACACTCTGTATACATTAAACAGTAATTCTCCTGTTCCCCATTCCCCTTTCCCCTAGTCCCTGGCAACCGCCATTGTACTTCCAGTTTCTTTGAACTTGATCACTCTAGGTTCCTAATATAAGTGAAATCATACAATATTTGTCCTTTTGTGACTGCCTTATTTCATTTAACGTAATGTAACAAATGTCTGAATTTCCTTCCTTTTTAAGGCTGATTGATATTCCATTGTATGTACAGACCACATTTTGTTTGTCTTCCATCTCTAGTCTACTTTTAACCTCAACCAGTAAATTTTAATTTCAATTACTGTACTTTACAGTTCTAAAAGGTCCATTTGATTCATTCTTCTGCTGAGATTCCTTATCTGTGCAATCTTTAAGATTATAAATTTCCTTTGCTTCTTTAAGTTTTTGCTAAGTTCAACATCTGTGCTATCCAGGCTTCTACTGACTTTTATTTTTTGACTCTGTATCACTATTCCCAACCCATTTCTGTTAGGTCTAGTGATTTTTGATTGAATCTTGTTCACTGTAAATAAAATGTTACAGAGAGTATGGATTCTGTTATCTTCCTCTGAAGAAGAATAATTCTTGTTTAAGCACATAAAAAAACCACTAACTAATCTCCTTGAACATGTGTTAGTTTACAGTTATACTCTGTGAGTACAGATTTATACAAAACCCAAGATTTGTCTCAAGCGCCTCTACTTGGAAGAGAGACTTCCAACTCTGTGGACCTTATCAGGGCTTGGATTTAGACTGTTAAACAGGTTGAGAGTAGGTCTTAGGTGTTACAACAGTGTTAAATGGCTCTCCAGAGCTGAAAATTCAATGTCCGCAAGCACTGTTATCTCCTTCAGCATTGTTTGATCTCTAGTATTCTGTTCTGTTTTCAAAATTTCATCTACTTTTTGGCAAGTCTCATATGATCTTGTAGTGCACATGTATAGCCCAACCCTCAAGAAGTATGCCCACATGGATACCTTAGGTCCTCCCTCTGCACAATTCCCTCCTCTCCAATGTAAAGCCCTGCAGATTCCAGCTATTGCAGCTAACCCAACTCTGATCTCTTCCCCTAATCTCTGAAGGCCTGCTATACTCTGCTCTCACTGTAGCTTTCTGCATTAGAGTCAGGAACTGTCCCAATCTTGAGCTATTGTGAGGCACCCTTTGTGAGTTTATTTGTCAGGGATAATAGTTTTATGCTGCCTGTTGTCCAATGCCCGAAAACAGTTGTCTCAAATATTGTATCCAGTTTCACAGTTGTCTAAAGTGGGAGTGCTAATTTGGTACCAATTATTCCATCCATCATGGCCAGAGGCAAAGGCTGCATAATCCTTTTTAAAGAAGTTATCTTTGTAGGATAAATTTTCAGAAGTCAAATTACTGGTCCAGAGTAATGTGACATTTTCATGCTTTTGGAGTGTATTTTACTAAATTATTCTCCAAAAGGTTCTGCCAATTAAACTGATATATATCTGGACCTCTATGATGCAACTAGGAAAATGAAGCTCAAAAAAATAACAAAGAATAAAATCGGGCATACAAACTTTTAAGTAAATGAAAGAAAACAACTAAGGAGTTTAGGGTTAGCAGAAGTTAAGCAAATGGGAACATGAAATTAAATCAACATAGAAGACTTTCTGAAGAAAGGATTTATTTGTTGAATACTGTCCCTCAGAATAACTATGTAATTAGGAAAAAAATACAAAAGAAATGAAAATGAGAACAAAGTTGCATTTTCTTTTTCCACGTAAAACTTATTTTCTTTACCCCTCTGGAAATTTAAAAATATCTCAAGTACAATAATATTTACCAGCTAAAGAAGGAGCAAACGAGGGTCTGATAAAGTGTATATTATATCAATCTTAAGATAACTACTATAATTAATTATAGTATATATATATATAGTATATATAATTACTATAATATAATTTAAGATTTATCTTTATTTACCGTTCCATCTTCCATCAGCTTCAGACAAGAACCAAAATCTGCTAACCGAATATGTCCATTCATATCCATCAATATATTGTCAGGTTTAATGTCTCTGAAAAAATACATACATAACAATTTTTAGTTGGGAAAAATAAACATAATCAGTTGCTTGGTAAGATAACCTTTTTGTCTGAAAATCTCAACTTCTTTTAAAAGTAATACTTTAAGAACATCTATTTAATTACTTTATAGATGAAATTCCTGGCTCTGATTCATATTAAAACTTTTTTAAATATGTAATTTCAGTATTCTCCCAGAGACAAAAAGTACTATGGTAATTTTCATTCTGGTTAAAGTCCATCCTTCCTTTGGATTTACACAGGTTCCAATGTGACTAGAGTAGGCCTACTTTCCGCATACAGAGAAGAGTCGTAATTACCTGATACTCACAAAAAAATACTATCCTCTAGCCCATGAAATTGGACAGGGAAAAATAAACTCTCTAGATCCTGAAGATAACTGCAGATAGATAAATTCTCTAGTACTTCAGGTCACGACAACACAAAGAAATTGCTTCATAGAGTTGATTTTGCAGAAGAACTGAAATAGTTGCCTAATATAGATTATAGATTATCTATATTATTTAAACCTTTCACTATTTGTAGATGTTAAGTTAATGGCTTGAAAGATATCCAATTCTAAGTAATAAACTATGTCATACCAGTGTTTTTATTTGTTTTTGTACTGGAAGGGAAACCTTGGCAAAGTAATGATACATAAAATGGTTTTGTGAAGAAGTTTCTCAGGGATCTAGCAATATTAAATTTCTAATCACATTCTAAAGATTGTAATTGTGAATAACTAGGAGATTAGACCCTCCCAATTTACTTTTAGAGGAAGAGAAAGAATCTCCTATGAACACTATGTATGTTTTTTTAAAAATTCTATTGTCATGTAGATTATGGGAATATGGTAGGGTCCCTTTAATTTAACCTGAATGATGCCATTTAAGGTCTCTGCATTTCAGTTTTCCCACCTATAATTATGAGTATAATATTAGTACTACTTTAATTACTGAAGCAATTTCTGAGTGTGTTGTACATCATAGTTTGGCAAATTATCACCCATGAGCCAAATCCATCCTGCTGCCCACTTTTGTATTAATAAATAAAGTTTTACTGAAACACAGCCATGACCATCCATTTAGGTATTGTTTATGTCTGTTTTCACACTACAATGACAAGAGTGAGTAGTTGTGACAGACACCATAAGCCTGCAAAGCCTAAAATATTTACTATTTGCCTCTTTACAGAAAATGATTTCCCCTTTGTAGATGATAAATGATAGGTAAATAGAGACAGACTGAAAACAACCTGTATAATAAATTAGTTTTATAATCCTCAATATTTGAATTTATCCTGAACTGTCAAAAAAGCTATATTAAGAAAAAATTTTCTGTTTTTAAACATCAAGGAAGTAAACATAAGTGCTGGGAGCTCAGAAATTATCTAGACCATTTTTAGATGAAGAAAAAACGTATTTTATTCTTTATTAAAAAATTAAGCTATACAGTCACTATGAATTATTGTTGTT